CAAGACAGGTTCGTGCGTGTGCATAATGGACTGCGCCGTGAGGGGGGTTGGGGAGGGGGGTTGGGGAGGGGGTTGGGGAGGGGGGTTGGGGAGGGGGGTTGGGGAGGGGGGTTGGGGAGGGGGGTTGGGGAGGGGGGTTGGGGAGGGGGGTTGGGGAGGGGGGTTGGGGAGGGGGCTTGGGGAGGGGGGTTGGGGAGGGGGGTTGGGGAGGGGGCTTGGGGAGGGGGGTTGGGGAGGGGGGTTGCGGCGGTGGCAGACGGCTCCTCCTCGGGCCGGAGGTTGGGGTATTTCCCCCCTCTTTCTCGCAGGCTGAGAGGGCCCGCGTCCCCTTGCCACTCCGGAGTCAGGTCCGCGTGTTGTGTTCCTCTTTCCCTCCCCCCACGGGCACCACCTCCCCCGGCACTACACAGGTACGCCACTACCCCACCCCTCCGTTCCTTTCTTCACCTCCCCGCATCCGCATCCCTACTTGCGGTTTGTGGTGCGCGATGTCTGATCACTCTCTCCTCGCGTTCCGCCTGTGCAACACCACCCCACCCTCGCCAGCCCCCCATCCCTCCGTTCCCCCCCTCCCGGCCTTCCGACACCACGGGTCGAGGACTTGATCGCGTTGCACTCAGCAGCAGTTTCCGACCCAGTTGGGTCAGACCGGCAGCAGTCCGCTTCCCACTTTCTCGCATATGATTTCCCTCCCGGCCTCCCTCCCCACTCCCCTCCCGCCTCCCGGCCTCCCTCCCCCATCCCTCCCCCATCCCCCATTCCCCCCTTCCGGCCTCCAGAGCGTGGCATGTGTGTTCCCGGCGTTCAAGGAGGTGACTGAGGCCCCGGGACCCCATCTAGCGGAGATTGACGAACACACGCCCAACTCCCGGGTCTTTCGGAACTACGCTGGCCTGGTGCAAGAGTGGGTGGGGCGCGGGGTGGGCGGGGAGCGTGGCGGCGTCTGTTACTGCGTGCTGTGTTGTGTTGCATCTTGTGATGTGCGAGAATTGGAACTAAATATTAATTTTGCCCGTGAGGCAAGACAGGCCTTATGTCTGGGAACTGTAAAACCCTTTAGGGTTGTCCAACAAAAAGGGTTGTCCAAAGTCTTCCCCTCGTCATCAGGCATCAGCCCCTAAAGGCTTGTCCCCTTTAGTTCTTCATCCCCGAAGGGGAACACCCCCTAAAGTTCCCCTTTAGGGGATGAAGAACTAAAGGGGTGTTTTTCTTCGGGGAGACGAAGGGGTTCCCCTTTGGGGAAGAAAACGAAGGGGAGACGAAGGGGATGAACCAAAGTCTTCCGCTAAAGGGGAACCCCTTCTTCCCCTTCAGTTCCCCTAAAGAAGATAAACTAAAGTTCCCCTTTAGGGAAGAACCCCTTCGGTTCCGCCTTAAGGGGACGAACACTAAAGGGGACAGACAACACTTAGTCTAACCCCGAAGGGTTAATCCCCTTTAGTTCCCCTTTAGGGGATGAACAAAAAGGGTTGTACCTAATGAAAAAACAAGCAGCCTCCTCCGCCTCCTCCGGAACCAGGGGGTACTCCTCCGCGCCGCGCTGCTACCCTGCTGACCTTTGATGCTCCCTGACCGCCCCCTCGCCCTCCCTACCTGAGCTATATCTCCTCCGTATCCCTTCTCTCTCTCTCTCTCTCCCCCCCCTTTCTTCCCCGCTTCTGGGAACGGGACATCAGGGACCAGGACGAGGGCGGTGATGCCTGGGCGTTGAAGAACGGCTGGATCAGCGTCACGCCCCTCAGCCTGTTGTCGCATATGTGTGCAAAACCGGTGCGTGGGGGCCCCGGAAGGGGGGGGGGGAATGCACTGGGGATGGGTGTTTGGATATGTTCGTGTGATCGTGTTCAGGTGGTCTTGTGGGGCAATGGATTTAAGTCCCTAGGATCCAGGGTGGAGCCGCTTGCTGCTGCTAGGCTACGGCCGTGCTGCTGCTGTTGTTGTGGCTGTTGCTGCTGCTGCTGAGGCGGCGGCGGCGGCGGCGGCTGAGAATGGTACGCGACCCGAACTGCCATTCCCGCGTTTCTTATAGCCCTTTATGCATCTCTCCGCCAGTATTGCTGTTGATGTGTAAAACATATGCAGCAAAAGATGCAAGTTGAACAGTATCGTGACCGATTGACAACAAACAAAGAACTAAGGCGTTTCGTACTGTTTGTGAGGCGGCCCCCAGGTTGTGAAACCCGGCAAACTAAATTTCGTATATCCCTCGTAGGAAGCCCGGTCAGAGACGGTGGTGGGCGCGGTTTCGGAGCTGGTGTCAAGAGCGGCGGCCGAGTCGGGGCTGTCGGCAGGGGGCCTGTCCAGGCTGTGACTGGGGTTATTGCCAAATTAGGGAGGGGTCGGGTCTGCGTCAATTAGGGTCGCGTGCTTGACCTAGCACGTGAGGGCAAATGGATTAAAAAAGGACTGAGTGACTGACTGATTGACAAACTGACTGACTGACAGACGGACAGGCGAACAGGCCGAGACAAACTTTTTAGTAGACGATGGACAAACCGAATGGCGGGAGACTCACATCGATTAACTGGCTAAGCTTCATATGCCGGGCAAAGCAGGGATGACCGATCTTTTGACCCGTGGGTCGTTATCGTTATGGCCTTCGATGACTTTGTTGACTTGATTCATGCGCAGGCGCAAAACAGACTGTGTCATGGGCCTTATGTGTTTCTTTCTAATCTTCTCGGGGTGGGGGGGTCAATGGGTTTGGGATCGGTTTGGGAAGAACGAACGCCGACATCGTTAGAGAGTGTGCTGGAACGGGCCGTGTGGTGGTGGAACGGGCCGTGTGGTGGTGGAACGGGCCGTGTGGTGGTGGAACGGGCCGTGTGGTGGTGGAACGGGCCGTGTGGTGGTGGAACGGGCCGTGTGGTGGTGACTGTGTCGGCAGGGTGTGTGAATGTGAGACTGCGACAGCAAACTGAAGTTGGACTGAAGTCTGTTGGCTGCAGATGGCCATGTTGGATGATGACTGCGTGGACATGTCTTGTCTGACATCTACTACTATCTAGGGTTTGAGCTTCTGATCCTGATGAGAACAAAGCCCTGAGTATCGTACTTTGTCGTACTGATGTTTTGCCAACAGCCACAACAGGACTTAGGGTTTTCTCTGAGCAGCCCTCGCTATATTTCAAATTCGGCTTGCTGTACATTTCAGAATTGAGCAGAGGATTGCGCGTCGGTGGTGATAGCGGTGGTGGAGGGGGAAAACAACATAAACCTTAATTACCCCCTCCATGAAGTATAATTTTGGCCTGGGAGGGCCGTCGACCAACGTGCCTTGCCGTACGGTGCCGTACGCCTTTCAGCCTGCCGAACCAATATAGAAACGGGTGGTGATCCGCATCATTATCGCGTACTTCATTTCCTTAAAAAAAAGAGACCGAAACCTGGAAGTGGGGCGCTTGAGATTGAAAGGTTATCATTCCACCACATTCCCGGGTGCTCATTCCACCATTCGTGCCGCTCGTCCCCCCCGGTGTGATGTCTGCCACGCGCGCCAAGAGCTGATGCCATCTTGATTTAGCTCCTGCGAGTTGATGCTGCACGACAGTCCATAAATCTTTAAAACAGGGAAACGTATGACAGCGCAGCGAAAAGCCCTTTGTTGTCATGTCCGAACACAACCGCACTACCGGCTACTCGCTCCAATGTGTACGGCAGGCCATGTGTACGACAATTACCTCCAAGGGGCCTCCGGGGGTCGCAGGCGGTTAGGGTTAGAGGCCGACAAGACCTGCTGTAAGAGCTGTACGGAAACCCGTTTCCTCATTCTTCGATGGGATTGGTTTTCCCTCTTTGATGAGATTGCTTACCGAGTGGATAGGGACATTCCAATTCCGCAGTATCGCTAAAGGGCTGATGCTCCAATGAATCTGTTGCACCTAGGCGGTGCGCTAGACGACCGCTCAGAGCATACCAACTGATGGTTGAAGCTGGATCGGGCGATGTAACTGCCAACGCGGGCACCCGCTGGCATCATCACGCTCTGGCAGCGAGTCTGGAAGCGCGAATCGGTGCGGTGCTGCCCGGGGGGTAGCTCGCCCTGGGTGTCACCCTCACCCTCACCCTCACCCTCACCCTCACCCTCACCCTCACCCTCACCCTCACCCTCACCCTCACCCTCACCCTCACCCTCACCCTCACCCTCACCCTCACCCTCACCCTAGTCGGACATTACATTGAAGTCCGACATTACGTAGACACTGATGACCACGCGAATTGCACTTAATATGGCGCGCCCGTTCGTCATGAAGGCTGCGTAACTCTCCAGGCTGTCCGGTGGCACTACGGAACAGACGGCAGGGCCCACCGCCGCAGCGGGGTTAGTGTCGCGTACATCGACCATGATCCCACAGTCATATGAGCGTTCGCCAAGTGCTGCAAAAACCCATTTAGGTCCTTTGTCCGCGCGCGGAATATAGCAGGCCATATCATGGTGGCGGGATACGGGATGTTTACGGCGATGGACGCAGTAAAGGCTAAAATGCCTCCTCAAGTTCTACTAACTATTTTAAATGTTAACATGAATGGATTGCAGAAGTATAGACATGCTTTGGAAACTTTGCGAAGTGCGCTTGCAGTCTGGGCTAAACTGACACCTGCTCAAGTCAACAACATTAATATTCCGCAACACTCGGCATTTCCTGATTTGAAGCATCACCCAACTAGATCCCTCCTTTCGACAAGGGTAATTGTTTGATAGAAGAGTCTGTACGTTATGAGCAGTCCTATGCTGTGTTCTAGTAACCGTTAACTAACTGTAACGGCATGTCTAACAAGTTCGGAAATCATGTAATTCATGGGAACTCCGCTCTTATTGAGCTGTGGTATGATCTTGTTTTGGGCAGGACAGTATTAACAGTTCATCCTGCTGTTCAGCTTTGTGTCTGCAGATCACGTTCGTACATTTCGAAAGCATGAGAAAAGGTAAGAAATATATGATCAGCGTCAGTTGTAAGTTACACTTCGTTTTATCTGCACCACATTACAGCGAGCGTCAAGGCGCCAAGACAAATCTTGGCTGCCAACCGAAAACCCACAGAACCATATCTACCAAAAAAAGAAACAGCCGTAGACATTGTCCAGACACCATTTATGAAGCGCGAATCAGCTGTATCAAAAACAAGGTGTCCATTTCGCGTCGGTGGTCGGCTCCCCGAATAACCACAATACAAAACTGTTACCTAATTCTTCAGCGCTCTGGAAGCAATGCCGCCATGCCCCGCTCCTGTCGCTGAAGGGAACAAACAAGCACCTGCCACTAACAAAAACTGCGCTCGAGCTCAGCAAAATCCGGAACCGGAGCTGCGAGCAGGGCCAAAACATCGAACTCAAATCGCTCTTCTCGTCATGCACACCGTGCCCGATTTTCCAACTCATCACCCGCTTCCCGAATCCCTGCCAGCCAATGTCACAGTGGATCAAAAGCTCGGTATAACCAAAAACAAAACACCGAACTAAGAGGCGTGCGCCGGCAGAGATGTGCAAAAACCCCAGCCCAGCCCCTCTCTCGACCACTATAGTCACATGGGCAGAAGTTCAGACGCATCGCCATTTACCCGACAAAACACTCAGCGGACCCCAACAAAAAAGGGTCAAGCCTTAGCGCCTGGGTAAACTTCAGACGACTCAATCCGGGCTTCCCGTAAACTCCTCGTCCCTCTCTCCTTACCGCCCAGCATCCAGGCTCACACGCGCGTGTCAGAAGGGATGTCCTGCCATCACCCTCCGCCACAAACCTCGCGCACTACCACACCTCCGAACTTCAAAACATCACGCCAGGCGATCTGGGTCATCGCGCCATCGAGCAGGTGTTCCAAGGACTCGCGCTCTCGTGCGGCCCGAGCTCCTTAGAGCTGGCGGCGCCAGTCAGCCGGCAGAGTGGTGCGCTTGATCTCAATCTTGGCCTTGCCGGTCCAGGGGTTGGTGCCGGCCTTGGCGGCGGCGGAGGAGCTCTCGTTGGCGGGGGCAGGGGACTCGGTGCGCCAGCTGGCGGAGGAGGAGCGAGCCGGGGCTGGGGCGGCAGCCGGGGCTGGGGCAGAGCTGCTGCTGCTGCTGCCACCGCGCAGGCTCTCGAGCTCCTGCTTCCAGTTAGCGGGCAGAGAAGAGCGAGTCGGGGTCACGGCCTTCTTGGGGCTACGAGATGGGGCCGAGGCAGCGGCAGGCGCGGCGGCGGCGGCAGGCGCTGAGGCAGCCGAAGAAGAGCCGCCGCGCAGGCTCTCAAGCTCCTGCTTCCAGTTGGCCGGCAGGGAGGAACGAGTGGGAGTAACGGCCTTCTTGGGGCTTGAGCTCGAGCGGGCGGGGGCGGGGGCGGCGGCAGCCGGCGAGGAAGAGGAGGAGCCGCGCAGGCTCTCGAGCTCCTGCTTCCAGTTGGCCGGCAGGCTGGTGCGGGTCGGGGTCACTGGCTTCTTGGTGCTACGAGATGGGGTGGAGGCGGCGGCGGGGGCAGCGGAGGACTCAGAGCGCCAGCTGGCGGAAGAGGAGCGCGCCGGAGCCGGGGCCGGAGCCGGGGCAGCAGCAGCGCCGTTGCCGTTGCCGTTGCGCAGGCTCTCGAGCTCCTGGCGCCAGTTAGCAGGCAGCACGGAGCGAGTCGGGCTGACACGGTTGGAAGATGAGGCACGGCTGCAAAACAATTGGGGAAGACGGATAGGGGCACAGAAACTCAGCCAAAGCGTCGCAAGATGTTGAGGTGGCTATTTCGTCACACCTAGTATTTATGACAGCGATGAAAGATGAAATAATAAGAAGCAGATATATATGATAATAAAATACATAAAGACTGGAGAGATCTCCATTTACTTCCGGCGTGGAGAGCGTTGCTTAAGTAGCTGAGATCGTTGCCCGGCGTCCTAGGGAGAAGGGCTAGATCCATTCGACCTACAAAATCTATTAGCAACTAATTAGTTCTTACCCAGCAGGCTGAGCAGTGACGGTGGCAGACTCGCGCCAGCTACCGCGAGCGACGACCTTCACAGACTGCAAGCAAGAGATAAGGGCGGGGCAACTTGGCGTCAGACCCACGACCAAGGCAAGAATCATTCATGAAAACATGAATAGATATGTGTACGTAGTGAAGTGACATGGAGGCCACTCGCAAGCCAACCTGTAACGTCGGCGGATGCCCCAATACACTGACCCATTTCTAACCTAGCCATTGAGCAATCAACATTTGCAAGATTATATTAAATGCACATGTAAGAGTGAAAGGATCGGTAGGAGAGCGTCTCTGCGCACCTGGCTGCGGGCGACGGCCACACGAGGGGCAGCACCAACGCGCATCGTCGACATGGCCATCTTGTTATAAGGAGATTACAATGAACGACGAATGCGGTGCAGCTCAAAATGTGAATGATGCTTGGACATTGGGGCCACCTTTGTTTTATCCAAAAGAGTACGGACGTGGTAGGGTTGGGGTACGGCAGGTCTCTCAACCAGACATGGTAGCTCGTCCAGTTGGAGAATTTATGCATGGAGCGCATGTGTATTTAATTTTCCTATGCTATATGGATACGTTAGCTATTTGGAAGATTTACTGCTGCAAGTTCGAGTTGTACTTTGCACACGTCAGTTCCACGCTCACATGTTTAACATCGTTGGCTTTGCCATACATGTTTTTACATTTACGCCTTTCTTTAGGATTTGCTTCATGGTGCATGCATGCATGCAAGCCCTTTTCGTTACACATAGGTACAGCGATATCCCTCCGCGCTTCTCGTTGTGGTAAAGCATAAGAAGAACAGGACTAGGTCTTGAAGACAATGCATCTATAAAAAAATGGTTCGGCAGTAGAGATACTCAACTGTTATGCTTGCGCGCCTCCTCTACATAGTCATGGACAGCAGAGATTTATGCCTGCTAACGATGTTGTATGCCTAATTGATGGAATTGCCGAAATTAAGAGCAGGAACTTGGCCCATGCAAAGCTGAGGCCCGAAGGCTTTGGGTGGGCGCTGAGGACAACATAGCAAATTTGTGCTGGCCTCTTGCAATTTCCCAAGCACATAGCACATTCCTTTGTGCTCATTGTTCGACTATATCGAGCTTTCTAACTTTCTAAGCTTTCTAAGCTTTCTAACACTTCCAGGGTCGCCAACATACGGTTGCAGGAAAGCTCGTCAGCTGTCCGCGCTCTTCATCCAGAGAAAACCCGGTTAAATCCTAAACCGCAAAGCAATGGCCCCGCCAAGTCGCTATCCCATGATTCAAGATCCAAGATAGACGAGCACACACCAACCGCCTGCCTGTCGAGGCACCTTCCACGCAACACCCTTTGCAACACACCAAAACTATAAACTATTTCCTTCCAGCTAAACTGAACATTAGCCCCAGCAGCATCAGTTGCAGTGGCAGTACGGACGCACGGACACGTCTGTAGACAAACGCTGCCATGGACAGCCGCACCAGCCGCCTCCTCCCAACGCCCAACGCCCAACCACCACTAGCCAGCCTCTTCACCCTAACAGCTCCTCTTCCGCCAGCTTCCCCGCCCTTCGAGCGCTCTGTCGCGACTGCCGGCGGTGGCGACGAGGATCCAGTCGGATCTCCTGCCTCTCTCCCCCCCCACGGACGCTCTTCGTCTTCGTCACACCCTCACGTTCCGCCTTGCCGCGCTGAAGCTGCCGTACGTCGCATGACTCCCGCATCTGTGGTATTGGGTGGCGGACACATTGTGCGCGTGTGTGTATATGTATGTGTATGTGTGTGGGCGCGAGAGGGAGAGATGGAGAGATGGACATAGAGAGTGTGTGTGTATATGTGCTGATAGGACGACTGCGCCGCCAGTAGGAAATGGCAACCCTGGAGCGACTCCAGGGAGCGACCCTGGAGCGACTCCTTCCCGTGCACCACACATACATACATACATAGCCTGACTTCTGCTCCCGGAGGTTCCGGGTTCAAATCCGCCTGCCGACCTCTGAATTGGGAGGTGGCTCCCCGTCTTGTGAACGGTGTAGGACGTGATTATATCAACTTGCGAGCTGACCAGGAACTAAGTTGAGGCGCAGTTGATCCGCTAGATTTGGTTGGATGCTGGTGGTGAGTTGCTGAACCCAACGAATACATTCTGAAATCGGATGGGGTGACGGATTAGGGTGCCCCTATCGCAGGGGAGAGCAGGGAACTGCCTCCAAGGGAAAGGGGGCCGCTGGTGAAGCTATACCCCCCTGTAACAACATCATGAATACGTACATGTACACATATACACATTTCCTAGCCCCATCCACGCACACGCACACAGCCTCTCCCCGGCCCCGAACCCCCCTACCTTGATCTCCTGGAGGAACCGCCGGTAGTGCGGGTACCTGGCCAGCCCCGCCGCGCCCACCGAGCAGCCGGGCTCAGAAAGGTGGAGGCAGTCAGCGAAGCGGCACGGCGAGGCGGCGGTGAGGGCGAGCAGCTCGGGGAAGTAGCGGGACAAGTCCGTGGAGGATAGGCTGGAGGACCGGGGAGGGGGGAGGGGGGAGGGAGGGAGGGAGGGAGCGGGGGGGAGGGGGGAGGGAGGGAGGGGGGAGGGAGGGGGGAGGGAGGGGGGAGGGAGGGGGGAGAGGGGAGGGGGGAGGGAGGAGGTATGAGGGGTGTGAGGAAGACGGGCTCGTGGGGGGGGAAGACTGACGCAGTTTGTACAACCAAAGAAGCTGGCAAAGGTGGCAAGAGTGAGTACGATAGTGTCCGTACTGCCGATGTACGGCAGGTAAGAAGCAGAGAGATTGGAGCGGGGAAGGGAGACCGCGGGGGGTTCTCCGAATACCCGCGCTGTACAACCGGGCAGCTCAGGATGCCGTGGGGAATGGTATACATGCCGTACGTAGACCGTAGAGATTTACGAGCTAAATGGGTTCGTCCGTGTACTCACAATACATTCGTACATATCTACTCATGTCGTACATCCTTCGTACGCCAACCTCAACCATTCCTCCCTATCCGTGGCTGAGTAGTTTGAATACACACACACACATATGCACAAGCTTCCCGCCACCCGCGTTTCCCCCCTGCCCCGCCCCGAAACCACACCACACTCACTCCTCCAGGGCGGGCTGTCCGAATCCCGGCGTGTCGGCCAACCAGCCTCCCCCAGCCAGCTGCAACAAAGTCACCGAAGTGGTGGTGTGCATACCACGGCCAATCTTGGAAACGGAACCGACAGCCAGAAACCCTAAACCCCCCTCCCCCCCCTCCTCGTGCCGGCCCTCCTCCCCCTCCGCCCCACCCATCCCAGCCGCTTGAGCTCCACGCCCGGTGGTCGCCTCATCCTCAGTACCGTAATCCGAGTCGCCGCGTAGCGTATTCACGTTGCTGCCATTCCCATATACAACATGTACAGCGGTCGCCGGCAGCTGCAGCGTGTTGACCTCCGCAGCCGCCGGCGCTACTGCTGCCGCCGCTGTCGCCGGTGTCCCCGTGGCTGCGTCTATCCTTTGTTCCGGTCTGTGTCTCCCAAGTCGCAGGAAGTTGATGAGGGAGGACTTGCCTGCCCCGGAGGGACCCGCAACCACGGAGATGCGGCCCTGGGGGGTGGGGTGGGAGGGGGGGGGTTGGGGGGGGGAAGGCGGGGTGGGAGGGGGGGAAAGACGAACTACGTGAACGAGTGAAGCTGCTGCCAAGGAAAGAGTGTGCAAGAAGATGAACTGACAGAAAGGCGATCTTGAAGGCGGCGACCTCGGGGGGAAGGGGGGGGAAGGGGGGAGTAGAGAGCCGGGCTCGGCGGCCACCCGCGGATCAGGAACGGATCAGCCTTACAAGGGAGGGGGAGGGGGAGGGGGGGAAGGGGGGATCTGGTTCCAGTTCTGCTGCCCCTCCCCCTCCCCCGCCC